GGACACTGCAAGCTTTTTCCAGCCCACCAATACTGACACCAATATGTCAACCTGGGCTTGCTGGCCACCCACCTATAGGGTGAGGTGGTATTTAATTATCCATGTACATTCAGCCCTCAGGTGGTATACTGCCAACAAGAGAGCCATTTAATGCCAATTTGTGGTGAGTTTTGTGATGTAGAGACTCATCCATTACAAACTAGACTGAGACCCTCAGTTCAGGTCACACAGGCCACAGAATAGCCATCAGATGACCTGGGCAAGGCATGAAGCAGTGAGGTTGAGATGAAAGGCTCAATATCTCATCACCATTCATATGAGCTATCCAATCACCTTTCTCAAACAATTTAATTTACTAGTTCCATATCTGGGGGTGGGGGGTGGGGAATGTGTACAGTACTACGGTCCTATTGGTACTTTAAAAGCCTATTGTTAGGCTGTATTCATCCTAGCATATGCCCGTGTATCCCTGGTGACAGAAAGTTTATTCAGAGAGGGGTTGGAGCGGTTCAGGGATCTGCAACCTCCAGTCTTTTTTGGGGGGTATCAGAGCCCCCAAATGGGTGCCATTGACCATGCCAGGGTTCATGGCTAGTGTGACTAGTAATTGCACTGATTCCTTTTCCTAGCACCACAGCTTAAAGCTGCCTTCCCTTGTGGAACTGCCCAGCAAGTTAGCAATGAACTGCAGTTTTGTAATACCCTGCACCTCTAGCATTTCATGGACACTTGCAACATTTTGTGACAAAAGAAGTTTTACCAAATGCAATTTTTTGGTGATGATTTTTAGAATGCTAAAAGCATTGTTTTGAAACCCCTTAATCAGAGCCAAGAAAACCATCCTGATTCAAATCATCGTTCTATTGGGATTCCCACCAAACCCAAAGATATTCAGAAGCGAAACTGCAGGGCTGCAATATTAAAATTGTCAAATATTATCCTGCAACTTTTTGGATTCACCAAGACTTTTTCTATATTAGTGTTAATAGCCTATGTGGGCTACAAAGTGTTAGGTCTCTTTGATACAATTTGTGGCAAGCTATGTGATTTGGGAAGTTTTCTACAGGGTATCACACACCCTGCAGTCTTCTGAGGTGAAATGTCAGTTTCTTGCACTCTCTAGGTTTGCGTTTAACTATGCTAGTCCTCTAGGTAAGCACCAGAATAAAGTGACTCAAGGATGGGGGATCTAGTCTGTTAATGAACAGCAAATACATCATTCATGCCAGTATGTGGACATGTCAGGAACACAAGCCAGAGATTTACAGATGCCCTGTTCCTCCCTGGAACAGGTTCAGCATGGAGAGCAATAGTGCAAGTTGCTATATAGCCCTGGCAAGATGTCTTATTTCTGTAATGGAGGAGCCACCTCAATGAGGGAGAGGGTAGGAGAGCATCTGTGCCCATTCTCCCCACTGCTCCCCGGTGACTGCCAATCAGGTGGTCAATCTGTTCGAGGTGTGGTGGTGGTGGTCATCATGCCTGTGATGTAGACATATCTGCCCACTGCTACTGGACTTGAGACCCCAACCTGGGCCACTGAATAGCCAACAAATGGTGACAACTTTACCTCACAACCATCCTGGACTGGATTTGACCCAACAGCCTAGAACGGAAAGGCTCCTTATCCCATAGCCTCCATGGTGCCCCATTTTTAATCAAAAGTCATATGAATTACGAACTCAGAATACACTGATAACTCCAATCAACAAAATAATGTTTTGCTCACAAGTACGATTTTATATGGCACTGCTCCCCAATTTCTGCAACCAAGTTTCTGTTTCTTAAAACACATGCTTAAGTAAACATTGTTATTAGATAAAATGTATATTTGGCTTATTGGATTTTCAGAGACATGACTGGAGTGTTTTTCTGAAATTCCTACCCTTGCTGCAATTGCTTCTAATATGCGGGTTGATGCTGTTGATTTGCATTCTTTGTTTTACTCAGAAACAATCTTCAAGCCACATCTTGAAGCCAGTGGGATTTAAGAACTGAGTTAAAACTGAGCAAAGCATCTCAGAATTTGCCCCAGAGAAATTAGAATTAGAATAAATTTGTTCATTAGGTCATCCATCCCAATCTCACAGAAACCAATGAAAAATTATTACAGTACATTCTCTAATGATTTGTCCTATCTAGTTTCCCATTTCCCAAGGAGGAAACCCTATTCAAACAAAACTGCTGCTGCTGAGGTCATCAGATACATGTCTCCTGATCAGGAAGATCGAGGAGAAATCCTATCTAGAAGTCATGTGTATAGCAGCAGGGTCTAGACTGCCAGTAGTTCTGGTTACTTTAAGATGAACTGGATGGATGTTACAGGAGTGCTCTATAACGATATATAGGTAAATAGTTAATAGATAAGGTGCCAGTAGATGGCACTCAGAAATATGTAGCATAGATCCTGAATCTTGTAGAACTAATCAGACTTGTTATACAATGCAAATGGCTTCTGGCAGCTCTTTACATGGCTTTTAATTGGGGAAATGCAAATGTAAGGGGCAAGGTCTCTGATGGTTGGGTAAAAGGAAGATGAGGAAATCCCAGCATTCTGCACGGGCAACTAGTGAAGGTCATTCAACACACTTATCCTTGCTTCAACTGAGCCAGTTGCAAAGGCACTGACCACTAAAGCCGAGCACAATAAGGGAAGAAGAGTACAGTTACTGGATGCTAAGAAGGAAAGAAAAAAAGTCTAATCTCACTTAACTGTCAAAGTTGGGCATTTTGATGTACTTTTAACATGCCACAAAATGCAACTACATGTATAACAATGGTCTGATAACATATATGCTAGCTCTAGAAATATCATA